CAAGGGTGTCCAACGCCTGTCCGGTAAATTATTACTTTCACAAGTATTGGCTTTCGTCATATTTTTCGTATTCCGAATATACACTACTCGGCCCCTGTCTTTTGCTCTTTTACTCTTCCTGAGATTAGGTAATTTGTTATTTGTTATGTTGCAGTTTCCCTCTCTTTCTCTCTCTATCATACGCATACACACACACACACTGGGAAGACGAGCAATACATTTTCGATCATTGTATAAGCTGAATTGTAATCGTTCTCGGTCAGGAGTTTATTGCACGTTTTGTATCTAGCATAGCAGTTAGATCTCTGGCGACTGCATAAGCAGTTTCGATCGTCTTCCTTACAAAATACATAGTTGGAGCTAGTATCTCCTTTTATGTCATTTATATTCCCAAATCTTCTTTTAGCTGTCCGACAAAGATCGTTCGATGCTGGAAGAACGCATTAAGCGTGCTGGGCGCCAACCAGCACCTCCACCTGCGGATGTGCCTGAAATGCGGCCGAGAACGATGAGCTCATCTCGTGGCAACCGGTGAGTGATTGATTATACGGTTAACTTCAGTGATTGGGACTGTACATTTTTATCTCTGCTTTGTATGTACACTAACGAACAATCGATAACTCATAATCCTGGCATTGTTTTTCCATTGTTATATAGATACTTCTTAGCAGATTTCACGGCTATCATTATTCCAATCACATCGTTGTTTCTGATTGAAAACCATACATACCGCGACTCCATATGCCAGAGCCTAGTTCGTGTCTACCGTTTGTGTGCCCTAGGTCTTCAGTTGTCCTCTGCAGTGCGATTTTTAGCAGCACCAAATGTATAGTCTTTAGAGCTCCATAAGTCAGTCCCTGAGAAAAATAACTCCTGGGTGAAATTGAATGTATCTACATACAGTTGGTTTGATTTCACCACTGTTGTGTGTTAGCTTGTCTCTCTCTCTCTATCTAGTGTTTCTGACCTGATGAGCATATATAAATTTGAACTGTGCATGTAGTGCTCATTGGTTTTTGATCCACATAGCCTAAACAGTCATCATTCATACCTCCCATAGGCCATTCCATGTGGCCGATGCTTCCGGGATAACTAGGTTGGGTTTTGCACCGAGTCAGTAATGCATCTGCCAAGTTCTCACCATCCACCAAACCGCTGACACAAACATTTATTTGTTAGACCTATCAGCGTTGAGGTTTAACGATACCCGTGACTCAATCGACCTCACCGTGTTCTGTTATTGTCTTTCTTTGAAATCTGTGCTGGAATTTATTTCACTATTGCCATACTTTTATGCTGAAAGAAAACAAAGACGAATTCGAGCATTTATCTCCCCATCCCCCCGAGTTCTTCACCTCGACAGTGGTGGGTTGAAGAGTTTTAGACAGTCGCGGTTGGTCACTTGAGCCACTACTCGCCCCCTATAGATTACGTCTTCTGGGGTATGTTTTACGCATGTCACCAAACATCGCCCTCGGAGTGTGTGAATTTTCGGCACAGGTAGCGGGTGGACAAAAGTTCCACTTAATCTGACTAGGGTCTGGTATGAGGATGAGTAATGCGAGAGTGCGCATCGTAAACTAGTGCTCGTGTATATGAATTCCCTTTCAGTCTAATCAGGTATCTATGTATCTTTACCTTACTACTGTCTCCAGTTGTGTACTTCTTCCAGTACCACTCCATCCAAACGGGCAGCCAAAAGACAAAGTCAAAGTTTTATTATGGGCGATTTAACAAAGCTAAAGCTTATCATGCCCCACAGGACCATACTGTGAATCTCCTACACAGAGGTGGTGGATTAGTCACTTTCGTCAACAGGAAATGGTGCAAAAACGCTCGTAAATGTTTTCAATTTAATACTCCCAAGATAACTTGTATTTCTGTTTCTTGTCCAAGTCAAAGTTTTATTATGGGCGTTTTAGCAAAGCTAAAGCTTATCATGCCCATAGGATTTTTACAGAATGTTTTGAATAACTTCACAAAGAGAAAATAATAATGATAATAATGTGCGTGATCACTCATGGATGTTGAAATTTTAAGTGTTCCAATGCTTTATCAAGTTACGATTTAAATAGTTCAACTGTAGGAGCACACGCTTCAACAAATGGGGGAGAATTCCATATGCCGCACACTCTGACTGCAAACGAGTGATGCACGCAATCAAGGTGGCTGCTGTGGGTCTTCACCTTTAGTGGATGTCCCCTGAGGTGATCATTATGAGATAAAGTCAGCAGAGAACGGCAAGGGTGGTTAGGTTGATGCAGTATGTGATATGTCAATATTAGGTCCCCTCGAAGTCGGCGGTATTGGGATGAGTAGAGTCTCAATATTTGCAGTCTTTCGGAGTGTGTCTTGCTATATAGACCTTGTATCAATTTTTGGACGTTCTAGAGCCTTCCTGTCGCGGTTTAACCATGGATTCCATACTGGAACGGCGTACTCCGTGTGTGGCCTAACGAACGCTGATAACAAGCGTGGGAACGGTGCTCTTTCGAACTGTCCGAAAACACGTCTGAGTAGTCCCACTTGCTTTAGAGCTATAGATGATGCTCTGTCACAGTGCGTGGAACATCCTACCTCCTCCCGTACCATAAGACAGCAACTGTGAACGATGCTCGAGCGTACAATAGTAACTATTGAACATTTCCTGAACCATTCCATTTGTCTCCATCATCAGTCACACGTTTTTATCTGTTCCACTCTTAAGGGAATCTTCTGCTCCACGCCGCGCCTACGATACCGCTCCGATGGAACGTCAACCCCCCATGTCTTCCGCCCGAGCCCGTGCCCATGCCATGCTGAGTGAGCTGGGTGATTTGTCCCCCGAGAAACCACCCAATATGCCTCCACTCATCCAACTCGAGTCTGAAATTGATGACTTATTCAAACCAATCGAGATGCCAGCCCTTAAGTAAGTTGCGTATAACGAATTCAATTGTTACGGTGCAATTCTCTTTGATTTCTTCACCCCGATAATGGAAACTCCTAGGTTTGTAGATTGCGTTTGTTTTTACGAAGGTGATGTTTACGGCATGCACTTTGTGTTGGTCTAGATATCTAGCTATAATTGCGCATACGAGAAGACTCAATTTGATGAAAGTGAACGGCCCAAACGTAGTTACCGCCTACCAAAACACGTTAGCTGCTGATCCAGGCAGACTGTCCTTTTCGAACGTCGAAAGCCGGTGGACTCACATCTGTACCGCCATCCATAAGTCTGCCATCACAGATTGTGGCTTCACTGAATGCACCGTCAATTACTGGATCTCGGCATGTTCTCTCCAACTGCCTGACACTCGAAGCATCTCTCCAGGTAATGAATACACTACAGTTAACAGGACCCTCCGTGTTGAAATGAAACGGTTCCTAAAAGAGGACCGAGAGACCTGGTGGGTACAACGCTCTTCCGAGTTTTAACCAGCCTCTGCTTCCGGTAATTAACTAACTTCGTTATTCCAACCTATCATCATCCTCATCATTGTACAGCGTAATACAGTGAAGCGAACTTCACTGATCGCTGTCAAACTCATGATGCATACAATAAAAGTGAGAATGTGTAAGGAGGACAGGAATTGGGCCTATTTTTAGGGACGGGAAAAGAAAGCGAACCTATATGGTCAACACAGAGTACACAGCCCAACTGTGCACACATACTATTTTAAGCATTCTGGTGTGATAAGAAGCGAGAGCATGATCTCCATTGCTGTCGGTTCGCAGCCATGACTTTCAGTGTCTCCGACCATGCGGTTTCGGAATCTTTCGCACCCCAATCCGGAAGATGATAGGCACCTCTACCTAATCACTCTGTGCATTTCTTCATGCTTCGTCTCCACGTCATCTTTTGGCCTCCACGTGGCTTTCTCCAGCCTGCAACAGCTACTGCGAATAAGGCGCGCTGCGGTAGTCGACCGTCGGACATACGCAAAACGTGTCCTAAACAACGGAGCCTACTGAGCTGGATTCGATGAGATTCGATGGAATACTGAATCCATTCCATCTGAATGGAGCTTTGTAAACGTATCTGTTTTCAATAAGGGCCCCCTCCACGATTGCTTCAATCACCGAGGAATTAGTCTCATCTCCGTTGCATCCAAACCGTTAACGTCGTTGATCCTTCTCAGTCTCAGTTAGACAGGAGAGTGTCATATCCGCAAAGAACATGCTGGGTTCCGTTTCAGTGGGAGCTGCGTAAATCATGTATTTACGCTACGCCAGACTCCCGAGCAACGTCAAACGTTCAGTAGACCGACCATCGTTGTCCTTTCGGATATACGTTCTGCGTTTGACTCAGAGCAGCTCTCTGGACTTGTCTCTTAGGGAGCTGTGGGCCTGAGAAATACGTAAACTTTCTCAAAGCCGTCTACTAAAAAGCATCAGGCCGCGTCCATGTGTATAACCGCATCAACCCTTCTTTTATCATCACAAGCGGATTCCGACAAGGGTGCCGGTATTCGCCCTTCCTCTTTAATTTCACAAGAGATAAAATCCTAAGCAGCTTTCTGAAAAACCGCAGCGCTTCCGGTGTGGAGCTTCTCCCAGGCGATCGACTGTGACTTAGAATATGCTGACGACATCTTTTCACTCTGTGACTCCTCTTAGGACGCTCGAAACGTCCTGTGTATGTTTGCATTGCCCACCACGCAGTTCGATATGACCTTTTCACCATGGAGATGTTAAGTTTCACTACAAGGCTCATGATCGACCAATTGGAAATCGTCCATCACTTTATTTATCTCGGTAGTTGTTTCAGCTCAAGAGGTCTGATGGAAGAAATATTAGTGCGTATCCCCAAGACTCGAGTGGCTTTCGTTAACCTACATCACTTGTGTCGCCGACGCGATCTCAATCTCTCTTTGAAAGGCCTCGTTTACAAAGTCACAGTATGCACTGGTTTACTCTACGACTGTGAGAGTCGGCCCCTCCACGCAGATGTACGTGCCGTTGCCTTCGTTGCGTCGCCAGAATACGTTAGGCAGCAGAGAATCACCAACGAAGAAGTTCGTGNAGTCGTCCTGTGAGTGCCGTCTTCTTGCTCCAGAAATTTTGATGGTTAGGATATGTGTTGCGGATGCCGGCTCAACGACTGCTCTATCGTGTTATGTTTGCGCAATCAGACACTAATTGGAATCGGCGACAAGTTGGACAACGAATAACCTGCGCTTCAACAATGAAGGCGTTAACCTCAAAAAACGGCACCGATGGGACACTGAAATCCCATAGACGGCGAACATCTACGACTTGAGACACTTCCAGATACGACTAATAACCGGCGTCCATGGCGCTCCTTGTACGAGACTCTCAAAGTCAAAGTCAAAGTTTTATTATGGGAATAGCTTACAAGCTGGTGCTTCTCTT